GTGTGTGTGTGTGTGTGTGTGTGTTTGTGTGTGTCGCATAGTGTAACTCCTAACCAACCATGCTCTATAAAATAAGACACGGAAGTACATCAGATTAGAAATAATCGGTGGGTGGTTGGCGGGTGCTCTGGTCTCAGTCTTTCCTATCAAATATAGTCCTTATCTCTCCTCCTTCCTTTCTATCTCTGGTACTCTCAAGTAACACCTTTAATTTTCAAAACTTAAAAAAACCTTTTCGTGTTGCAAGTGCCGTGAAAATCTTTTATGAAAAATAAAAATAAATCAAGTTTAAAAAAAATAAAGTAACCAAGTAAATAAATAAATAAATAAATAAATAAATAAATACATAAATGAATGAATGAATGAATGAATGAATGAATGAATGAATGAATGAATGAATGAATAACTGAGCTGTCCTTGAACGAACACAAACGCACTTTGCAATATTATTTGTGCATATTTCTAATTCCCCAAAAATGCTTAGATAGCAATCGAAGTCTATAAATAGCACATTCATAATATTGTCATTAAATAGAAATCAAACCGCCGAACTTTTTTCAGTGCGATGTGAAAGACTGCAATGCATTGGGCAAAGACCAAGTTTGGTGGCGCTGAGATCATTATAAAACGTGAGACGTAATAATGTGTGTGATATCGTGGAGAAATCAGACTCTCGTCATAATAGTCAGATCAGAGAGACGGACATGTTCCCACCCGTTGGACAATTTAGATCCAAGTTGTTGCTGGTGTTGTTGTTATTGTTGTTGTTATTGTTAGAACTGTTGTTTTGTGTTGTTGTTGTAGGAGTTGTTGTTGTTGCTGTTGTTGTTGTTGTTGTTGTTGTTATTGTTAGAACTGTTGTTTTGTGTTGTTGTTGTTGTTGTAGGAGTTGTTGTTGTTGTTGCTGCTGTTGTTGTTGTTGATGTTGTTTTTGGCTTAGAACCTTTTATGATAATTTAAAAACACATTTCTGCGTTACTATTTGTTGAAAATCATTGATCAAAAGCACACACACACATTAAACAAATGTAAATTTGCAGTTTCCAAGGACATTCAAGCTTTGGAAGTCACCAAAGTCGGGCAGCCATTTTCTCGCAAACATTTTTACCCCAGACCCAGTGACCCCCACCCACCACCTCCTACAATCGCAAATATCTCGACTTCTGTTTGAAACAGATAGGTATCTTTTTATCCCAAAAAAACAAACAAAAACAAAACGAGACAAATAAACAAGCTTTAAGATGGCACCAATGACTCCAGATTACGCCCCCCCCCCCAAATTTTTTTTAAAAATTGACGAGCGCATGATTCCACCGCGTCGTGACCACATTGTCATTTCTATACCTACCTTCTCTTTTCTTATTTATCAAACTTATGAATGTTTCTCCAGTTATTAAAACAAGCTTAGCGCGGGAACGACTGTCGACTGTCGACTGTCGTGGCTGTCTGTCACTCCCGACGACACACCATTCATTATTCATCCTCGTGACGTCACTCAAGGGGAGCGCAGACACAAAGCCAATAAATACCCGCCAAGACAAGACCGTCACACGGACTCTCATTTTATCGATTACTTTGCTTTTTTTTGGTGTTTTGTTTTACGTCTTCTGGAACTGCGGTGGCTATTTGTGAGGCGGCGTGGGGGAATCAGGCTCTCGTCAAAATAATCAAAATGAAGAAACTTGCATTTTTCCGCAGGTTTCTGAATTTTTATTAATTTTTTGTTGTTTTTTTGCTCAGTGCCTTTCATGCCCATTAAAAAACTCATTTCTGTGTGGATTTTTCTGAAAAAATGTTGATTAAAGGCACAAAGAATGT